ATACATGTAATTGATCGACGTCCTGGGGAGGGGTCTACAAAAAGTTCAACCGACCTTGAAAAAAATTGGGGGGCATGTGCCCCCCCCCCCCTGTGTCCCCCCCCCCCCCGTGGCTACGTGCCTGTATATAAGGCTTCCAAGTGGTACAATAATTCAGCGTATTCAATATCTTTAGCGCAGTAGCCGGATGACTGACCAATATTGTTTTCGTATTGCTCGGTCCATCCGGGAACTTTAACTATCGATATCACAAGAACACAAATATTTACCGAGGTAAGTTGAATGTTGATATTTGGCTAGTCAGACTAATATAGACAATAATAATATTGTATGGCTTTGTTTTCGTGTGATACAAGAATATATTGCTCTCGCTAAGACAATTTTAGACTCGTCTTCGGCTCGTCCAATATTTTCATACCTCAAGCAATAAGTTCTTGTATCACTCTTTAAGGCAATATTATATAACTATTTGCCAATCCTTTGGCATTATTTGTGAATGTTTGGGACCTTTTGCTAACTCCTAGTACTCAGTGGGTCGATTTTATATAGGAATTATAAGGTAACGTGGTCGCTAGCATTGGCGAATCAAAAAGAACTTCAGCAACACCGTCTTACAACCGTTCGAAAAGGCCTAAGACTATAAAATAAATTCAAAATTTCTTTGCGGCGAGACAAATTGTTTGCGACAATGAAAACTGTTTGCGAACTTTCTTGCAACCTTTTGCAACCTTTTACAAAGAAAAATACTGCTTTTGAATTAGCTGGGATTATATAGACATAGGTCTCTTGAACCCTCAAAAAAATTGTCAAAATGCCCGTAAACGTGACACCCCGGTCTTGTGAATCCTCAAGTATTTTTCAGAAGACCATGCAGAATGAATGCCGGAGCCTTAATGTGGGGTCAATTCTTTTCAATACATATTTTGGATATCAAGTCTGAGCCAAAAAAAATGTGTTTTCTTTCCATTATTAAAGAAAAACGTATACAAATGAATAGTTTTTACTTATCAGATTTGCTCCTGAAGACTTCTCTTTATGGTTTTCCTCCTTTAATATTTTTAAGTGGCGTTAATATAGTTAATCATTTCTTATTTTACAACCATTAGAATACAGTTTATCAAAATAGTGAAAAAAGTCTTACTATCAAATGTGAATTATGTGATAAGGGCTTTAAGCCTCGGTCACGAATGCTATTACGAACTGCTACGAACGCCGTACGAACGATTTTCAGACAATGGAAATTCGGGAAGACAATGGAAAAACGGGGAGATTCGTACGAAAATACCGTTCGTACGAACCTTTGTGACCGTGATAATTATATAGCTCTAGTATTCCATGAGTCGTGCATCTGTCTGGTTACAAGGGACATCGGTTTAATATTGTGCATCATAACACGTCTGGAAGAAAACAAATCCCTCACACCGTTCCCATAATCATGATAGACCTGTAAGCATGCAGGGTCTTCTCTACATTTTCTTCAATTTTTTGTTTGGGGTCATTGGCTGATTTAAATGAGCAATTGGATATTCTGAATAAAAATTTCAAAAAACAATGTTCTCAGCATCCCCTCATTTTCTGAGTATCCTTCAAATTGCTCTCATAGTTATAACATGATGTGCATCATAGCTAGTCTAGATAAGGTAGATATACATAATCTATCCATGGATGTACCTCCACCTCCTTTTTTGGCTGGCGTTCTGGATAACCAGGATAATGCCAATATCTTGTCAGCAAACTATGTTCGCATCAGCCCCTATCCAAAATGTTAAAGTGATGGTATAGAACATGGGTTCTCAAACTTTTTCTTTGACGGTCCAGATACGATTTCTATAAAAACTGTAGGGTCCGAAACATGGGATGCCATTCGCCTGAAAATTCTTATAGTCGATCGTATACTTCAACTTAAGTAAAACAATGTACAATATGAATCCTAAGGACAATTTTATATACCAGCGGGTTGTATGAGGAACCACTTTTATCTTTACTAATGGGGTACATCTTAGGGCCCCTTGTGCATGGGTTGCAGGGACAGTGTCCCAGCCAGGGACCCAGGAGTCTAAGCCCCTGGAAGCTCTCGAGTTTTGGCAATTCAGAACATTCTAGATAGCCATCGTGAGCGATAAAAACTCTAATCCATCACTTGAAATTTAAATTGCACTGCCCCCATTGTTTGCTCTTTTTAATTCTAGCTATAACATAGTTATCTGTCTTCGCTCCGGTGATCTCGAGGCAGCAAACAGCAAGAAATTGTGTAGATGATAAAAGGTAAATGGGAGTGTTTTTTACTTTACTGAATTGAGATTCTAGCTAAACATAGTTATCTGTCTTCGCTCCGGTGATCTCGAGGCAGCAAACAGCAAGAAATTGTGTAGATGATAAAAGGTAAATGGGAGTGTTTTTTACTTTACTGAATTGAGATTCTAGCTAAACATAGTTATCTGTCTTCGCTCCGGTGATCTCGAGGCAGCAAACAGCAAGAAATTGTGTAGATGATAAAAGGTAAATGGGAGTGTTTTTAGAAGCTTTAACTATATAAACTCACACTCTCTCCACTTGTATACAACAGAAGGTTGTATTCGGATCCACATCTATCTTTATGAATGGGGTGTAGGGGGTGCCCTTGCCGCGAATCTGAGGGGGGGGGGGAAGAGACTGCCAATGCCCACATGAAACATCACAGAGTACAGAAGAAGTAATTATCAATAATATTGCATTAAGCACTCCAATCCTTTGAACTTTCTGCACTTCAACATGTCCAATCACTTTTGTCAAGTTAATATACCGAGATACTGGCTAAAATTAGAAGGAAAAGATATCTCCAAAAAGCACCTTTTCGGCTCAAATTTACATTTCACACACTACATAACTCAATGAAATTGATATTAACTAAAACTCGATGTGAACACACAAAACAGGTCCTTAATACACTAACACACGGATATGAATGCAGTAAATACACATGTGGGCAAAAATGTTGTTTTTGTGAAAATCAAATCAATAACTTTGAGTTGCTTTAACTTTTCACTGAAAGAGATAAGCCTCTCCTTTGCACATGATATTGTCCTTGTACATGGGCAAATTCCTGGAAAGTTAAAAAAAAAAAAAGGCACTTCTCCAATTTTGATATACGGAAATAATAATTCAATATTTCGAAAAATATCACCCAACAATCATGTTATTTACTTAAATTTTTCGATGTTAATAAATTCGATTTCCGTTGAAATTGGTATCAAAATATAGATTATTTAATTTTCTTTCATTATGACACCAAATTTTCGATGGTTTAAGGTTTCCTTAAAAATGTTATTCACAAAATACTATTTTTCTTTAATAGGGCCTCTTTTTTGGACGCCCCCTCCGATTTAGGGGTGTTCGCTACAAATTAGAAGGAAAAAAAACCCTCTGACATACTGTGTATTATGATAAATCTTTCGAATGAACAAGGTGTGCTTGGTTTGTGTGGTAGTGGCAGACAGACCCCTCTTTTCTAACTTTGGTCCTCCGCTTAACGTTCTCGTTCTGTAGAGCTTTAAGAGGTCAAAAGGTCGTGGAGGGTTTGTCCTACAAGTTCATATCTACAGACGATGTTCCTCTGTTTATTGAATTAAGTGATTATTCTTTCACGGGATTTGATTTTGTGAAAGACCGTAATTGGAAGGTAATTAATCTAATGTTAGCAGCATATGGCATTCTTTTATTACTATTGATTTTATTATCACTTTGTAGAATGCTTTGTTTTCAATGCAAGCAGTGTAAATCAGAATAACTTTAGAGACGTTAATGATTGTGAGATCGTTGATCTTAATAATAGTCACGAAACCACGATGAAATTAACAAATCTTTATTTACACGAATGCTAACGGAAAACAAATCTTTTTAAAGATAATATTTCAGCAAAGGTGATGATACGAATTCTTGGATGAAACTGTAGACGTTGAGATTTCTTAGAGATGTTTTATTTCCACTTTCTACGCTGTCATTGTAGGTTGATAGTGGTGGGTGAATGTTGATGACCAGTTAGAATGACATCCGGTCCTAAGGGTCGAGATGAATACACGAGATTAGTTTCCTCTTGGACTGTCCCTCGATAATTATACTTTTATCATCGACTCTATAGTTATCACCTTGTCGAGGACGTGAAGATTCAACATTATCTCAAGGATGATATAAAAGAAGGACTTGACGAACTAGAGCTAGTTGGCAAAAGAATCGAAAACGGTCGACATTTTTCCACAAAAAGAAATTTTATCTGCTCATGTTTGACGTTGGTGCTGTTTGCAATAAAATTAGACCTTAACTGAATACTGCTTGTGATAACATTGTGAGAGCATGTTTGTAATGATGTGTGTGTACAGAGTGAGTGAATGTGTATTTGTTTGTTAGTCTCTATGAGATATAAAGTCTGGATGAGCATGATGAGACGGGTAGAGGCAGGGGTGAGAGCGCGGAGAGTTATGTGATGTGTCAGGCCTTGTACACAACCCCGTCAATGACCAAATAAGGAGTGCAGTGCTCTACCATTCCCCAGCACAGTCTGTGACTGGCCTCAATGCTGAACGTTCATCTGACTGAGGAGTCTAAAGTTGAGTCTAGATCGTTACGAAAAGGTTGCCAACACCAATGCCTAGTTCCCTCCTCCTCTTAGTCCTTGTAGTCGCCATTCATCCAACCCCGCATCCTACATTTCAAAAGCATCTACAACCTTTAAACACTCCTCTATAACAACTCTACCGAATCTCGTACACAACCTTCCACCAATCACGTTCTTCGATAGAAACCCCGGCTATGTAACGACAAATCTGATTTGTCTAGAGGGCGCGAAGGTTAATTAGATCTCACTGTGATAGTCGGCATAAACTTGTATGCTGGAGTTGGTGGATAAAATTCCTGGGACGCCTTTGCTGCCCCCCAGCGAAGTATCGGTCTTACTATTCTACAGCGGATAGCATCCTTGCCTTTTTCTCGTTTTCCGGCTTTGGACGTATTCTACGAACGTCTCTGGTGGATTTCATGTTGACTGGGACTAAACCTTAGGGGTATATTTTATTTATACTCCTTGTGTGTAGAGTGTATCTGGATCACCATCTTGACTTTCATCTGGATTGGGTCTATTTTTATCCACAAATAGACCCATCTTACTGCTCTTTGGAGCAACTCAATCACCTGAATTAATTTTATTCTGTAAAGTGTAAGTCACTCTACTTTCTAATCTTTATTAGATATCTATTTTGTGAATATTTGTTGTAGCTAGCTCAATAATGCAACATATTTCACTGTTTCGTAATATTGAGACACATTGAGGAGAAAATATTTTTGTAAATATGTTATGGTTTGCTTTTATATTATGTTCATTGTGCGACGAAATGTTAGATCGATTCATTTTCACTATGATTTGGCGCTCATGTTTGTTGTCTTACTAAACTATTAACGCATTGACACACATGCCAGCGTGAGATAACATGGTTGTATGTACACGTTCGATCCGGGCCACGCCTACCTCTCTTCACTGATTGATTATCATAGGCTAGGTGTTAACAATGCTCTTGAAAATCACTTCGTTTTTCTTACACTTCATCGTGATTTTAAAAACAAAATTGATCGTTCTTTATCATCCTTTGTTTCGTATGTTCTATTTTTGTTTTTATGTAGGCCTAATATCAGTGCAATAATTATGTTTAATTTTATTGATTAACCCTATACGGATAACATGATTGTGTTTTCCCCAGAGTGGGGAAGCAAACTTAAACGTTACTTCGTGTTTTTAAGTGACAAATGTAGGAATTCTTTTATTTGAAGAATATAATATAGCCATGTCTTAATTCATTGAATGATTCATTACGGAATAAATTATTTCGTTGAATTGTGTGGGAACTGACACATTTTGCTTCGGTAATAATGGTATTCCTTAGATATAACTCCGCTATGAATACTATTTCTCATATCGAGGATTATTGTTTCTGCATTACCTGAGGTTTATGATGATGCTGCGTAACCCGGAAGCAATTACACAACACATGTATTGGAATCACAAAGGTCAAAACTCTCGGTCATCACGTTTATGAATACTGGGATCTGTTTTGGTAAATAGCGCCATCTGTGGTGACTCGTCAGCCATGCGGTTTGAAACCGAAGTTCTTTCTTCCTTTTTGTTCATACTTTCTTTTGTTTCTAGTTATTTAATTTTTAAATGAATGAATGAATGAATTAATTTATTTATTTACTTACTTACTTATTTATATGTATTACTTTAATCATTTATTTAATACTCAGTAGTGTACCATGGCGTAGCTATATACGTGGTGGAGAAAAGAGGAGATGAAGGAAGAAAGATAGTTACAATTGCATTCCTCTCAGCGTAATATCTTGTACAGTTCATTATAATGTGGATTTCATCTCCAATTTTACAATTATGACGAATTGGGAGATTTTGTCTGTATGTCTATAATTATATTTGGTTTGTATTCGATCGAAGGTTATGAGCTAAGTCAAAGTCTAAATATATTTTTGCGTAGTTTATGGTGTTTATTGTTTTTTATCATATGCATGATCAAATACGTTTTGTTCCATATTTTTAAATATTTTAAATATATCTTATACTCTAATTTTTATTCCTATTTCTTCCCAAGCATACAGATTTATTCCTTGTCTCTTGTTTTTTGTTTTTGTTAAATAAGTAATGATTCGCTTTTCACATTTATCATGGGTGCAAAATACTTTCCTATAGGATTCGACAGATTTGCTTCATGATCAAGAGGTATGCTCCCACACTCCGTCTAACATTGCTAATTGGCCCATTTCTTATTGATACCTAATATATTTCTTAACCAATGGAAGTGAACACTTATATCTTAACTAATGGAACACTTCTATGTCCTTTCTAAAATATTTGGAGTAGTGACTTTCCCTATCCCCCCTCCCCCACCCCCAACAAAAAAAATAACAGTACACCTCTGACCCATGTAAAATGTTTTAATAATAATATTAGTTAAGTAAGTGGGTAGCTATTCTAATGATAAAGAGACAATGTCAGAATTATTTGATTTCAACTGGTAAATTCGCTATTTTGTGATGGAATGTATCACAAATATTAATGATAAGACCTACATATAGGCTGCCTGTAAAGCCTACCGCACACGAGACGATCTAACTGCGATTCGATTTTCGAAGAAATCACAATTTGCATTGGATAAGAAATTAAACAACTGTAATCTTAGTGATTGCGTTTTAAATGATGAAATAAAACTACAATTTGAATATCAGTTCACATCAGTTTATCTAAAGTTTTCTAGTTGAGATTATGACTCAATCGGCTTGAAATCGTAGACAATCGTACGAATGGTCTGACGTCACTACGATTCGAAACCGACTTGACTTTTCTTCCTATAAGTATGCTTTTGGTACCTTTAAATTTTAGTTTTATCATTCAAATGGCTATTTTGAACTGCGATCATTAAGATATTATTTGTTTGATTGTTCTTGTGAAATACAATAATTGTGATTTATTCTAAAATGGGAACGCATTTAGATCGTATAGTGTGCGGTGGGCTTTAAGCCCCACTGTCCTACTTGTAGCTACTTGCTCCCTCTAAAACAATGCCTAATCGGTAACCATTGGTCCCCCATGATCCTCTTTTACTTATATTAATTGAGAGCTGAATTGATGAGATAGCCAACTGTCACCGACCACACTATGTGGTGTTACACCTCCTGGCCAAACTAGTACAGCCAGCAGAAAGAGAAATAGGGAAAGAAAGGGAGAGGGCCATCAAAGACCAGTATTACCCCTGGTAAGATCGCCCCTCTCTCTTAACCGTAATAAGGCCGGGGGGGGGGGGGCCATTATGCCCCCCTTCCACGATTTTTCCGATTGCTCGGGAACGCATATGAATGGCGCCCCGCCGCTAGCTGACTTTTTTCTTTCGAGTCTTGCGCAACTTTTAAAAGAATTTTTTTGAAAATCGGACCTACGGTTACAAGGTCACGTGACCTTTTGTCTTTGCATGTCAGCCCGAAAATCGCTCATTTTCGTGATTTGTGTACAAAACATATGGAAAAGTCATTTTTCCTAAAAACAGATCAAACATGGGTTATTGGGTCTTGTTTAAAGTTTAGGTGGTTGTTTTGGGAGTCAAAATAGTTGAATTGAAGTAAGTAAGAAATTAGCAAAACAAGGGATAACATAAGGAATAAGCTGGCTCTTTCAATTTTTTGTTGTTGTATTATTATTCAGAACGGTCTGATGAATATTATGTAGTGAAAAAGAATGCTTAAATATGAATAATATATGATTTATGGGTATAAATGTGATTTTTATGACTTTATTTGCATAAATTACCATAAATATGCAAATGAGTGAATTTTTCAAAAAATTGAAATTATCATATTATTCTATACACTTCACTTGACATGCGTGCAAATTTTCGCGGCGATCGTAAGGGGGGGGGGCCATAATGCACCCCCCGGCCGTACTAAGACCTCAAATAGCCCGGCCTTATTAGGGTTAACAGATTGGCTCTCCATCCAAGGGTTGAGGGTTCGAATCTCAGCCCAACATTAACATCCTTTGGCAAGACGTTAATCAACGTGTATCACTCTCCACCCAGGTGTAAAAGTGTAACTGGCAATCACTGGGGTAATAATAATTGCATGGCCCTCAGGAAGAGCAACATTGAGTAAAAAATATTATTATTAATATATATTATGTTTAACATATTATGATGTTAATTTTGATCACGATATATATTTCTAAAGATAATAAAGATTCCCTTTCCTTGCTCTCTCTCTCTATAAAGTTAATGCCACACAAACCGAAACAAAAGATGATCATACAATTAACAACATTCCTTTTAATGAATATATATAAATTAAGGGGGCTCTTGAATTGCTTTCTTGTGGTGTAGAACTGATCTTATAATAATAGTGGGATCTTGTATAGCGTCATATCTGTCAGACTTGACTCTCCTGACGCTTCACATTTCAAATACTAATTGAATTTCAATTATTTCAATATTCAATTACTAATGAAAAAATGAAAACTAATAAACATGTAACTTCATTTTACTTACTATTCTTTGATAAGATGGCGAGATTGGTTATGATAACCCGAGTTCATTACCCAGCCATGTTATTGACTTCCCTATAGCATCTTAGTGTGTATAAAGTTGGTTACTTCCGAAGTTTGTCATTAATAATATGTAAAAAGCAGTAGCCGCAAAAAAAAACATATTCCGACGGTTAGTCAGTGGTCAAATAATATCCCCGTCGCTTGAACGCCCACGATAATAAAAATACTATCCATGTATCAACGTTGCTCTTAACAATAGATTCATGCATTATTCATGAAAATACTAGGCTCCGCCCAAATATGTCATGTAACGTGTAAATGCTTGTTTTTGATAGGCTCTCGGGTACCGAGTAAGAGGAAGCGTCATGAGTACTAATGAACCAACCGACGATGGAGGGGAACAGAAGTACGATTTGGAGGACGAAGAGGAGATGCCGCTTGCAGAGAGAGATTTAGCAGACGACGCACCCTGGAAGAGAATCCAGCAAAACACCTTTACAAGATGGTGCAACGAGCATTTAAAGGTGGCTCAGAAGCATATCAGCAGCTTAGAGACGGATCTTGGCGATGGTTTGAGGCTTATTGCTTTGATTGAGGTCCTCTCGCAGAAGAGAATCTCCAAGTTCAACAAGAGGCCGACCTTCAGGTCCATGAAATTGGAAAATGTCTCCATTGCCATCAAGTTCCTGGAAGACCAGAACATCAAGATTGTCAGTATTGGTAAGTGATTCAGTTTTTATATTCATATATTTATTTGATAGTTATTCAATCTGTATAAATGTCAATAATTGACGGTCTGTCATGCGAGGCATACACCCCATACCACCTGTATGATCGGAGGTGTGATACCGTGCGATGCGGCTAGTCCCCCGTGCGTGAACGCTTTGCGAGTCGGCAAGGGCCCCATCAGGCCCATCAGGCAAGCGCAAGGAACATTCTATTTCTCCTCTTCGTGCCTAAAATCATCCTCTACCAATAGTATGTTATGATTATAAGTACCATGCTTTCATGATGTCATTATAATAATGAATGAACAATAATAATATTCCCGACCAAGACTTTCATTCGGTAAGCACACTCTAGGAGCATGCAACTACAAATCCGTACAAGGAAATTAAAAACCGGTACACAGAAATACTTTCGATAGACATGTATACCGTATACACACGGAGAGAGCAGATTGGATTAGTGTATGACATCCATTACTCTTGTTATTGCCAATATCAGGCTATTGCTGTATGATATGAATCGTACAGGTTTCAATTGAAGCAGGTTTCATTGATCTAGACAGAGTCAGCTTTGCATGTATAGGATTCAACATAATAATATGCTTCATATAGGCATTTTATTTTAAATACACACAGGAAGAGTACCAAGTGTATTGATTTAATAAAGAGTGCATGTATAGCTCAAGACCTGCTGTCAGTTTGTAAGGGGGGGGGGCATAAAAATGTATGTCTAGTTTATTTCTGTGGGCAGAAATTTGGGAACATTAGGCTCATTCAAAATAAAAGAAAATAGGTTAAGTTTTAAAATGTTCTTTCATTGTTAGATGGAAAACATTGCTTTCCTATTTTATCTTCTCGTCTACATACTTTTTGTAAAATTTGCCCCATCCCTTCTACCCTCTCTCTAGCTCTCTCTCCAATTCAAACTGTTCTTAAAGGGATAGTTGAGTTCTGTTGCAAAGGGCGCTACACAAAATAATTTTTTGTGAGATAATGAAAAACTGAGTGTCAAATTTGAAAGAACATAATATGTAAATGACAAGATCATCTTTGTTGGATCAAAATCGGTTCAGAGACGGCTGAAATATAATGATTTCTAATACTTGTGTACCACCACAAATATTAGATATTTTGAAAAATGTCAAAAAACCATTGAAAAATAAGAAATAACGCATTTTACATCGTATTTCAGCCATTGCCGATGTTGGCTTTTTTGTTGGCATTTTCGATTGGCTTATATTACCCACAATTAGCCGGCTCATGTATTGTTATATTTAAGTAAAGAATTAATTAACGGTCACCATGTTTTTTTTTAAAGTGGAGCTGAATTGGTATGATCGTATTGGCTAAATTTCACACATTTTGGGGTCTAAAATTACCTTTATAGCAGTTTTAGGTTCTAAAAGGGCACTATAAATGTCATAGATAAGAATAAGAGCAATAACCATGCACTTTGAAGGCATTTGCGGTCTGAAAACAGAACTCAACTATCCCTTTAATTGAAGCTCCACAGTACAACACTCCTTCCTGGCTTGCCAAGCTTGGCCGGGATGTATTTTATCTGTTTGGCTAGAAACGCATGTTTTTATACCATGGACCTTGTCATGTATGTACTAGCCATTATAATAGGTATTTATCATCACACCATAGAACAATACCAAAATGATTTAGTTTCATGCATTCCATGGATGTAGGAATCTCCTTCTAAGGTATGCGGTGAGGTATTCAGCTTCTTTCAATATCTGGCCTTCCTAAGTGGGTTGTGAGAAAAATAAACCTTAAAGGGATCCGGTAACTTTGTCTCAGATTCTGAAATAAAATTCTGGATTTAGCTCATGATGCAATGATAATTATAAACCTTAAGGTTAGTCAGGAACCCCATGACTTTTACAAGCCGATCGCCTGTCTGATTATCAAGATATTTATGATTGGAATTAAAATTTTGAAAACCGTTCGCCTGACGGTTTTCATAACACTACAGTCTATTGGGTGAAATGACTATGGTAAAACCGGTCACTCAAAGATTTTAACTTTTTTGAGGCACTTCTTGATCATTTTGAAGCGCAATTTTTTTAGGGCTTCAATGTTTCACCATATCACAGACACTGATAACACGTAGGGCCGTGTATCTCAGATTTAACATCGTTAAACGATCCCTTTAAGCTCTACTTTGCTACCTATCAGTGAGGCCACCTGTGAATGAAAGGAATGCAATGGAATGCATTCAATGAAAGCTTGATCTACAAATACTAGATCCTCAGCACAAAGGCGCATGGTCAACGACTGTCTTCTATTGATACGACAGATTTCTTGTGATTGTCCACCTCTCAATGACACACACACATGGACTCATTCACACTAATTCTATGGCTTTTTCTGTCTGTAAGAGTTTTACTGGATGGGTAATAAGATGTATATTCTGAATTGAGAGTGATTAAAGGAGAACTAACCCCAAAGAATAACTTTAATTCTGAGAGATTTATTGCATTCTTGTCCATCCATCTACAAGATGTGTATATGAGAAAAGCCATTAAGGAAGAATGAATGAAGTACAGTTTCTCAGCAAGACATTTACTCTTTGATAATCAACAAGATATTAATCTCTCTTACTACCGGTACTGAAATGAATTCCCATTTCAGTGGCAGACATGGCTAGACTGAAGGAAATCCATGTATTCATGGATTATCTCTAATGTGTGCTCTCTCTCTATCCCTAGTCTGACTGCCACTGTCTGTCTCTATCCCTCTTTCTTTCTGCCCTCACCCCTTATCTCCCCCTTACCCCCTCCCCCTTACCCCCTCCCCCTCTCCTGTATCTCCCCCCTCTCACTATGTGATAAAAATATAATATTCCATTCATAGTGACACAGCAATATTGTGGAATAGCACGGTATGTGAAGAAATACAAAGTGAAAGATAAGACACTCATGACTCTTATTGACTTTATGAGGTGTTCCTTCTCAGCTTGTGTAGACTACAGATTTAGTCAAGACAAATAGCAAGAGAATAAAGGATGAGTAATGGATTCATGCTATGGTGGGTTGATAGAAACAAGCTTCCGTTCAGCTAGACAAACCAGCTACTTGTACCAGCTGGTGGACTCAGTGCTAGAAGAATAATAGCTCTCAGGCAAGGAACGAATACGGTAAATGATATAATAACAATTTATAATGGACAGTAATTTAATCATCCTTTCCAGATAATGAGATTATGACAAAAGGTAATGAGAATATAAAGATTGTTAAAGTGATGGCTTCTTTTAGATCTTAGGTTGTCAATCAAAGCAAAATAATGATAAACATGTTTATGACAATGACTTCATAACCTAACCAAAATTGTATGGTCCTTTTGTAATTTTGACCTCTAGTGATGTCAGATATATTTTTGAAATAATGTATTGATAAATACATTTATAAATTTATCTATTTTTTAAGTTGCTCCTGAACACCTTGTCCTCTACTCTAACATGAATGGTTTACATTGTCCTCTTCACATGAATCACTTACAATATTCATTTTGTTTTACAGTCACACAATTATTGTGAGCCTACAGAAATGAACTCTGTAGGTTACGTATCAGCAGAGTGCTGTGTACCAAGCCACGTTCGGTGCCATTACTCAAAAGCAGAAGCTCACTGAGCTATTAATAAATCCAAGAATTAGTTTGTCAGAGTGAATTTCATAGTAGAGAGGATTCAGGGATAAGAAATTGAACACATCCATGTCTCGTAGAAGAGGTCCGGAAATTACCACTTTCCTGTGTTGTAGATGGGACTGTCACTGGTGGCCCTCACTGTAGATGTCTGAGGTTTACATTATTATGCTCCAACAAGCTCTGAAATATAAAATCAAATAAATGACCTTGCTGTAAACCATGTTTATTCATTATTTACTAGTATTTGATAGTACAGTGTCTTAGAAAAGCCTTTGTCTTAAAAAAAACACACACAATTTTCTTCTTCTCCTTGTTCCTTTTAAAATATGACTCATCATATAAATTTCTTCATTTTGTTCTTCTTTCTTCTTTTTTTCACCTTCTTTCTTCTTTTTTTCTCCTCCTTTTCCTGTGCTTGAATAGTCTCTGTTCTAATGACTCATGAATGAGATTTACTTTAATTGACCTTAATGCATGTATATCACTTGGCAAAAGACTAGATAAATCAGGAAATAATAATTAGATCGTTAATGGTCTAATTAGGTCATCTATATCAACATGTTACTCTTATGTCAGTATTTACAATCTAAATACAACTATAGTGTGCTCAGTGTTACTGTTAGGCTTTCCCCTGCTTTGTATCTTTTTTAAAACATTGAATTTATCACCATTCTGTTCATTATTCATTCATGGTAGATTAACCCTAATATATAGAACAAAAAATAGGTTGTATTTTTTGAGCAAAATAGAGAGAGTGAGAAAAAACACATTAATGTACCGGTAGTCAAAATGTAGTTGAATTGACATGAACTTTTGTATGTTAAAAATGACTTGTAAACAATACTGATTATTTTAAGTTAATATCACCTGAGACATATGAAATATCACTCGGCTTTCAGGAAAGTTCCAAAGACTTTTCTCGGTTGAATGCAAGGTTAGCAACATAACAGGAAATTTTGATGACTTTAATTTCTCCCTCCTCAGCGCAGACCTGGTGGTCACGTTATTTCATTATGAGTGTTATGAAGATTATTGAACATATAGTACAAACACAGTACACAGGTGGATGCATGGTGGTCTTGAAATTTGTTTGTTCCTGCTGTGCTGTCTAGTGGGTAACCATATATATCAAAAACACAAGCTCAAGATATTTGTTGAAAGTAAAAAAAAACAATTAAAACCCATGGTGTATTGGTGATCAAGTAGCATGATAGTGACACATTACATGTATATACCTTCTTTGTTTCTAGTATTCCTTAATCTTGCCAAGTATCGATTTGTTTTAGTGATTTCAGTCATACATGTTTGTTCATTATCTTCATCTATGAAGAGGAAGTA